CCGGGGGCCGCCCCCGCCATTGCTCAGCCGCTCCCCTCAGTGCGGGCAGAGCACAAAATGGCGCACGGGGCTGAGGGGAGGCGGGAACAGGGCAAGAGCACCCACCGACCGTGGTCCCGGGAAAAACGGACCCGGCTTGGGGGCAAACCAGTTCAATTCGTTTACAGTTACTAGAGAGGATCACGAGAAACCAAGTCAGACCTCAGAAACAGCACCTCCTCCTCCCGCCTTTCCTTTCTTCCCACTCTACCTCCTGTCATGGCGGCGCGGCGGGACGGGCAATGGGGCTGCAGGTCGGTTCACACGCTGTTTCTGCCACTCCTTTCCCAAAGGAGGAGGGCTCCTGGCACTCTCTCCTGCTTCAGCGGATCCCCTCCTCACGGGACAGCCCACAGACTGCTCCATCCCGCAGGACGCGATCCTGACCCATGGGATCGCTCCGGCGTGGCTGTTACTGCAGTCATGGTGCTGAGGGCGCTGCCGCCCGCCCTGCCGTGGGTCGGCCCACGGACTCCAGACGCGTCTCTGCTCGGCCGCCAGAGCCCCGTCACACAAACCCCGCACAGCACTGGGCCCAGTCTGTCCCGCAGCACTCATGTTCCCCCTCAGTTAATCAACTGGAAGCACCACATTGACATTCTCATCTCAAACCATACAAACCGGAATTTCTGTTCAAGGTAACTGAGCTTGAAACCCCCTATTCTGGCTTTGTATGAAAAAATAAACAATTTAAAGTATCATCAGGTAACTGGTTTCAAATCACTAACTATTAAAGACACATAATACCCAAAATAACAACCAAACGCAGTTTAAGGACAATTAGAACAGAATTAACGACGCGGTAGATCTAACACAACGGATTACACACAAATTACTGAACAGATAAAGAGTCTCTCCTCTTGGAGCAGTGTTTTCCAATTTACAGAAAACATTATAGGCAAACAGGCAAATTAAAAAAGGAAAGCTATGCATTTCCTTGGGAGTTTAAATATCTTTTTCTTCCCAATCAGGATGCAGCTATGCTGGACGTTTAAAGAAAAAGTATAAATTTCAGGTCTAAACATTAAAAAAAATAATCCTCTACTATCATTAAAAGCAGCTATGTAACCAAAGCCATATTTTAAACAATTTTCAAATGCCCTCTTTCACTGGCCTTAAAAGAGTCTTTTCTGTACTTGTGATTTAAGTAATCAACGTACTGTTCTTTTACTTTATAGAACACCGGCATAAAATAACTGAAAAGACAAAGTTTACCAATAAAAAAAAACCACCACGTTTTCCCTCTCAGCAGTTAAGCAATTTTACCTATTTCTAAGGAAAAAAAGTGTTGTCCAAATTTTATTTTATATATTATTGGCCATGGTGACCACGACAAAGCAAAGGCAGTAGGTAAGTTTAAATAACCAGCCTTACAGATGAAATATAATTATTTTCCATCATTTTTGAGGTAAAAGGAATGATGACAGAGTCCTTACACAGCCTCAGTGACTCAACGCTTTAGGGAAAGGCAGCTTTGTACAGTATAAACCATAAAGAATATCAAATGATTTGTGGGAAATTTTATTAATCCATGCAAGAGTTTTCAGATAGTATCCACAATGTGTGTGGGTTTTTGGTTTTTTTTTTTTAAATTTACTCTTACACAACTCTGAAATAAATCAGGAAGTGAAAAATTCACAGATGTTATCTCACAGAAATTTTAACACACTTTCAGGTGTCTTTCTTTGATTGCTACGCTGGGAAATATGGTGTTTTTTTGGTTTACATCTGCTAGTTCTTTTGAGTGTGACAGACCATCACGATGGCTTATCAACACAAATTTAGAAGAGACACAGACTAATATCAAAGACCAGAGTCAGGTTCCATGTGGAGAGCTAAAAAGTAGAGGGACCAGTGATCCGTGAGAGCAGGATAGCTCGGTGCAGACAAAAGATGAGCCTGCGCAGGATTATCAGAGGCTATTGTGGGTGGCAAAATGGCAGAAAGAATATCAGTCAATGGCATTACAAATATTTAGTAAGTCAAACTTGGTCTTTCATTGTGTTACTAAACAGGAATATAAATTTGTTGTTTTTATTTTTGTTTCATATCATAAATTAAATCTTGGAGTTGCTCTTAAAAGGATTTTTCTCCTGGAAAGCAAAATGAAGTAAAGAATCTGCCTATATATTTCATCTGCATTTGATTGTCACAAATAAAGGAGGGAGGGCAGTCAAGTTTAACACATTTTTAAAGATCAGTCTAGACATTTATTCCAGCCATATGACAAAATCACATTTAAACGTCACGGAAACTTTACATCAACAAATCAAAACTCAAGGAAAAAAATTGTGATACGTTCCAGCAAACTCAAAGGAAATAACGTGAAAATATGCCCAAACATTATGCATCAAACCTTGGCAGCGACCACAAAAGCCCTGATGCCAGCTGTTCCCCAGGAGGAGAAGGAATGGAACTAACTCAGTAACAGCCACTTTGCAAATGACATAATGCCAACGTCGGAAACAACCGTGACAGCTAGAGGATTAATCTGCTCTAGTTTGTTAACTCGATATCAAATAGTCTTTCCACTGCTAAGATGAAGTTACTCTCAGCAACCCTTTCCACTATGGCTACTACAAGAATAAAATTACGTACTCCGTAACGCAGGAAACTCTGTATTGGGCTACATTGTTCCTTAAACAGAATCAGTAGTGAAATACTGGACAAAAACATCTGCTAAGACTGGCACTCTCCAGGAGAAAAAACTACACTATCCATAGGATACAACCAAGAAAGAGTAGTTAAGGCATCCAACAAGAGAAGCACCATCATATTAGGAGTAGACCATTTGCATAACAGCACCAGGATTAACAAAGAACTCTAACACTACTTATCCAGAATCACATAAATTGTCTTTATCATCTCTCAAAACACAAGCCTTCTCTGCCACACAACAAGCTTTCCTCACAAACAAAAAAAAATATTCGATGCTTTCCTTTCATAGCTATCTCATCATTTAATCATTGCCCATCCCTTTATCTGCTTTCCCACATAAGGAGGGCATTACAAACTGCTTTAAGTATTTATAATTAACACTAATCTTTCTAATGCAAATATGAGATTATAATATATATTAAAACATCTAAGATATATGATTATGTATATATATAAAAGTAAGTAACACTAGCTTCACGTGCAATGTTCCATTTATCCAAGATACACAGGTGACAGTTTTTTAAGACATCACTGTCAACAAAAGGGTATCTGACAACTTGTTAAGTCCTTCTAAAAAAACCAACAAGTCGACATGGACTTTTAAAAAAAACAACGCAGCAATAACAAAAAACCCCACCAAAAAGCTTACGTTATATTCCTTTCAGGAGAAGAGACCAGATGGACTACGTCGAGGGAAAAAGAGACCACTCCTTCCCTGGGGAACCACCGTGTATCCTAAGGGAGAAGAACACCCCAGAGCCAGCAGTGCACCCCAGACCAAAGGACGCACACACAAAGAGTTGGGAGTTTTCCTGCAACTCCCACAGCAAGGCTGAAAGACTACAGGGAAAGAAGCAGACAGCCTGATCTCCACGGTGAAAGAACAAACTTCCTTGGGGCTAGAGGCAACCAAGGAGAGCGTTCTGCAACACACCATGATTTTATTGTGTGAAGCCAATGTTGTACATGCACCAGGAACACAGGCTGACTATGCCAGAAACATTTTTGCATCTGTTTTCTCTTATGCAATTGCTTTGAATTACCATATTGTAAAAAAATTGTCTACATTTTCTCTTAATAAAACCTAGTTTCTGACTCTTTGGTTTTAGCTTCAATAACTTTAGGCTTCTTTGGGGACCTCACCACACAGGAAGGTCTACACAGATCTACTACTAGGACCCAACAGACTCCAGGACACTCTGCTTTTGATAGCCACTGTGTCATTCTAAACAATACTTTTATTCAACAAGAAAATTCTTCAGTAAAGAAAAAAACCAGAAGAGCAGCTGTAATTGCTTGCATCATATACAGAGTTCTTCCAGCACCACACTGGTTTCAGACTTCCATAGTGGGACTCATCTCTCAACTTCCAGAGGTCTACAAGGCAGGATTTTATTATTTAGTATAAAGGAGTTTGCATTTCTAGTATGGGTTTCACCTTACCCTGGAGCACAGACAAATGTGAACATGAGGCTGTCAGAAACACCAAAACTTGCAAGTTGGGCTCAAGGACTTAATAGTCATCGGTATATGAAGGAAAGGAATAAGAAAAGAATTCATCCTGGGAAGCAGGGACATAAAAATCTTCTGGCATCAAACACATAACATTGCTCAAGGTTCCACTGTAGCGACTGCTTGATGTGACAGTGGCTACATCAGCAGAGCAGTAGTGTGCACATGAGTGGTGGTGTTCCCATGATGGACATCAGTAACTCTGGCATTAGACTACTTGCTCCAGTTTTGGCACAGATCGTTTCAAAGGTACATTGAGAATCCACGACCTGGCGTCCAAGAAGCCTGAAGGGAAATAAATTCCCTGGAGAACAAATATTTCTGAGCACAGGTAACCAGTGAAACAAAGCGCCCAGGGAAGTGACCGCTTCTCTGTCAGCTGACTGAAGATCTCAGGTCTTTTTGAAAATTCTGCTTCAGCCAAGCAGTACTTTTACTTCAGTCAAACAGATATAATTGCACTCAGCAGAGGAATAACTGGATAAAATGTAACGGCCTATTTTATATAGGTAATAACTCTCAATAATTGAATGGTTCCTTCTCACTTTAAACTCCATCAATCTGTGACAAGCTGCGTTTCGGAATTGTGGAAGATTAAATTACAAAATTTAATGGACTAAATTATTTGTCCACGTTAATAATCAAATTCACATTATTTGTAAATTATGTTTTAAATAGTGCTTACATTATTTCCAAATAATTGCAAATTGTTACTGTTTTTTCCTTTTACTACTGTATTATTTTCAAAGGCTCCATGCTCTACTACTGATGTTCACACATACAGATCTCAGCTTTTTGGGGAAAGAGATACTTGTTTAAGGTGCTATATTTAGATAATTCAAATATTTTCTCATGACTGTTTACTAACAAGACACAAATTGCCATTGCAATTGTGTTGGGAACATAGTTATAAATACTACAGACAGATTTTACTGAATTTTTAACACTTCTTGCATTATTTTTGTTCAGTATGAACAAAACTCATACAGAATGTTTTAGTGTAATACAAAAGGTACTTTAACGATGGGGAGGTCAGAAGATCAACAACAACTGAAAATATAATTCCAACACATCTTTGAACAACATAATAATGACAATGTAATTAAAGGTCATTTCTATCTGAAATATTCTGTTACGTTCTAATTATGAAAAAAAGTGACTTTTCAGAATGACGATTAGTCCTGAAATTCAGATATTACGCAATTTTCAAAGAATTCCAATTATATAATATCTCAATGATCAACGTAACTTACATTCTAGTATTTATGAAAGGCACAACCAGATATCTAAAATATTTTTAAGTTTTTTTTAATGGTTTTGTTGTATGTACAAACACGCACATATGTGCATATATAGACAGATGCAACTGAAAAGCAACAACTGTCATCCGGAAGCCAGATCTTCTGATAAAAGAAATTGAAATATATTAAGTTAAAAGGTCATATGATAAGCTGTAGTGACAAGCTGGATATATACTTTATGTCTCATGAGACACAAGTAATAATTTCATGTTCATGCTTCAGACATGATATTTTAGCCCACACACCAGTAATTTATGCTAAGATTTTTCAGCAGTATATCAGTAGTTTACTTAAATCAATCCACAATCCTTACAACATATATGCAGGATCAACTAGTAAAGGTACCTTTCCTGATGACCCAAATCAGACAGAAATTCATCGATGCGTCTTTGCAGTTCACTTCCCTCTAGATTTTTCAGCTTCTTCAGTTCACTCTGGAGGAAAAACCAAAGTTCCTTAGCTCCATTTTCAATCCTTCTCCTCAATATTTCATGGTCTTTTCCAAGGCTTCCTATTTTTTTTTTGTTTAAAAAAAAAAAAAAGCACATTAAAGCATCAACACTTGTAGCTGAATTATTGGTTGAGAAATCAATACATTTGTGATATGGAATACCAAAGCTTGTTTTAGTAGTAAAAAAAAAAAACTTATCTACCAACCATCTCCTGTCCGCTTCTTATAGTTTTCTATCTGTTCTTTGGCCTTTAAAAGTTGCTCCTCTAAAGCATGTACCTTTCCTGCAGCTGGTCCCTGATCAATGGGGCCATCTGGTATCCTAGGATGTAGAAAATAAAGAAATTATATGATTTATAAAAATAACTATTATTTGATAAATTATTTCCATTAACAACTCATCTGTCCTCTCAATTTTGTTCTGTGCTGTTTC